AAAAGCGGCGGCCGACGGAGGGGGAGGCGTGCGTTGTTAAGGCAGATTTATCGTTCCGCAGTAATAATTACCTTTTAAGAACGAAGGATACGCTTAAGGTAATTGTGGCCGGGACAACGGGTTTCCCTCTTCAAATAAATTCGCCTGTTTTGCGCGGTGCATTGCTTATGCAGAACGTCGGAGGATACCCCGCCGTATATACATCCTTCCCCCTTAATTTTAGATTAAATGCCGGTGGGAACCGACATTCCCTTAAATTCGAGGCTCAAGAATCTACTGGTCCTCTTCGATGGGCGAATGAATAATTGAAAAGCGAGATCAGAAACTACTTGTACAAGTCAATCGTCTTAATCGTTCCTCCGTTAGTAACGTACGGATACGTTTTATCAATCGAACCTCGTGGTATTCAATACAAGCACCGACGAGGGTGATACAAGTATTTTAGACTCAATTTAATGTATTAGAATACAGGAACGATACATTATGTATTTAAATCAAGGTTTGTAAAGATGAATTGGTCAGAGACGAGCCCGATTGAGAGTGATAGCGATGCTTGTCGCCAAATGGAAAGAGGATAGGATCGCTTGTAACTGTTCGAGGATGGAGTCGTTTGTTTCCGTACGCGAATACAGGAAGAAGAAATTCGAGAGACGGCATTTCTCACCCGCCGAGGCGGAACCGGCTCGACATTCCTACAAGCTATTCCTTTGTAATCTATACCGGTCGCCTTAGAGAGGGAAGACAAGATACGGGGATCGAGAGGAGGCTCCATCAGACGCTATATACGTCTGTTTTCATCGCCACATTCGCTGCGGATAAAACGATAGCTTCGAGTGCATTCCGCCAGCGACAGAGACGATACCCTACGCCGTTTCATTCCTGCAGCGACAGTTGATAAATATACACGCGATTTCTACTTCTTCCTAAACGAATCATTTTCCCTCGGTTACTTTCTTTCCTTTATTTTACGATTCTTGAATTGCAGAGCTTCAAACGTGATTAAAATGCAACACTCTCATATTCTGTACAGATGATTTTAATCATTACTTACAATCAAGTTACATGAACGTGTAAAATAAAATAAATGTATTAGAAATATTTTTTATTAAGAAAAAGAGATTGCATTCATGCATATAAGACTTGACATTCGACGTGTCAGTATTGATACGAAACTCGGATTACTTATTACCGTTAGAATGCATTCGCGAGATACATTTTAGTGTCAGTTATGCTGCAAAACAACGTCTGTCAGATCTCTGTCAATTCTGCACGATTTATATATGCTATTTTAAGCCGGATTTGCGTCGCGGTTTTAGAAAATGTTTTCCATTGAAGAGACTTGGAACATGAAAAGCGCTCCTATTCGGACATTACAGTTTATACATTGTTCCATTAAAAATGCTCGCGTGGTAAAAATGGGTTAAAAGCTCGTTGCGGATTCCCAATGCTGTTCCCAATGAATACTACCACAAAACATGTATTACCGCGTAAATAATAAAATGTGTCATTGCTCGTTACCAAATTTAATATTAATTTGTCAGTTTAAGAATATTAACGTTTTTACATATTTAATCGTATGTATATTTCATTGAAGACTAAATCAGAGGTTCATCAATCACTATGTGTGTGTGTGTGAATCGATGGTACGAAAAAATTTCGCGGTTCAATTTCTTCAATTTGGCTAATTAACACGTTATGGCAAATTGTGCGAGTAACGCGGCAACTTTTACGCAAGCGAAGAGTAAGTTCTTTATTAACAACAGTTGTTCCGAGTTAAGTAGTCGGAAGCAAAAGTTTCCCATCGCCGAGAAAGGGTGGGTTTAAAGCTTTAATCGAGCTTCGGCATTGCGCGCCTCTATGTTCCTTAATACCCGATGCTATTGCAACGCAAAGTAGTAATCGAAATTGTAAAGGATGGAAAGATATAAAATGAAGCTAGTTTGTGTGGAAAATTGAATTAGCAGTGATATCAAAGAAAAGAATCTTGCAACGGCGACACTGTCCTCTGACAAGTACAATCAATTGTGAAGCCACTGGTCTGTCATAAAATCGCATGAAAGTCAATTTATGAAATCAGTAGAAATAACGAAAATAAAAGAAAATAAGCACAAGTCAACTGAAATTCCCTGATTGATCCTCCAACGTCACTTTCTGTAATCATATCGAAATGAGAAGGAATCACGAGCTCGTGATTAAATAATAATATTATTTTTCTTTCATATTTTGATTGTCGGAGATACGTGAATTTCAATTTCGCTCCTCCTCCCACGAATTCTCGTGGCGTGGCAATAGCTAATAAAAACTTTCGTTTCTTACTTTCAGAAAGAGTTCCTTTCCCGCCCCAAAGCTGTGCAGCATCAGCAAGTCCGCATTTGCTTTTCCTTCAATGCAAAAATAATACTAAGCCATGCATCGAATTTTTCCCGTTTGTAATGTTTTAGTTTTTATTTAAAAAATAAATAGTAAAACCTCAGATGCATTTTCAACTAAAGATCTTTCAGTGTTCAGATATAATCGTAAATCAATAATGATTAAATAAAAATTCTGAATCTAAGAATGTCCTGAGAAAATGTACCTTGCTATCAGCTAGGAACCATGGTATGAAGAATACTAGACACTTTTATCTACGACATTATGCAAATTGTCGCATTTAAGTGAAAAAGACTGAAAATAATCAAAGTGAAACGTTTAAATCTGAAGAAAAGGATGATCTCTCATTACGAATGAGTAAGGGTGAGAGAGAAGAGTCCGAGAATTGCGCGCGCGTTCGGGGAGCATCATCCTGAAGGGAAAAATTCTCCTGGAGGCCACGAGCTTCTGCGACTTTTCCTCCGGCATCGGTCGGAGCTTGCGCGAGGGTGCCAGCTCCGCGCTGCTCCAGAGGAACACCGTGGAGGGAGGACGATGAAGCGGTGCGACGAGGAGAGGGACGATGTACTCCAGAGCGGGAGGGTGGATAAAGGGGAGATCGTAAGGTTGATCGGAGAGAGACGGAGAGCATGTGTGCAGCGAAGGGGTCGACGGATAGAGGGAGAGATCTCGCTTGGGAAAGGACCGACGAATGCGGATGCCCTCGGTTAAAGGGGGATGGAGCGACCGTGGGACGAAGCTTTCGGGGGTGGTCGGGTTGCCATGGCAGCTACCCCGGCCGGGTAGCAGACCCCAGTCTTGCCGCGGCGGTCGCCGAGTGCGCAACGGCTCCGTTCCTTCGCTTCTTCTCGGGTAACCCGGTGATATATGCCCGATTGTACGCGGTTCTCGATTCTGGTGATTAGTCCGGTGATTAACGGGCAGTGCGCGCGACCGACGAAACCGGATGTCCGTGCTTTCCTGGATGGACGCGCCGACTGACAGCCAGTAGAATGTAATTCATTTTTTCCGCCGTCTTGTTTTCCCATTCAGTGTCATCGCCACGCGTGAATACCTGCCCGCGTCAGGTGTACTCTGTGCTTCGCATTCTCATCTACGTTAATCTATCTCCGCGCCGAGTCAGCGGTGTCATTCGAACTCTGAGCCTGAGTCACGATTTAGGTGTAGATTTTATTCTGGGAGAAAAGTCGTTCGGCGAAATGAACAGATTAGTTTTCGAGGGGATTAACGCCGTTGTTCCTCCAGATGGAGAACGTTTGTGAGAAGTCGGGGGTAGAGAGTAAAATGGAAACGCGTGGCTCTGTGGGAAACTCGCCAGGTGTCTTCGAAAGTTGCCGAGTACGACGGAGACTAACGAGCTTCCTCGCTCTGACCAATTTTCAAATACCCCTAATCCAAAGATCACTTTCTGTAATCATATCGAAATGAGAAGGAATCACGAGCTCGTGATTAAATAATAATATTATTTTTCTTTCATATTTTGATTGTCGGAGATACGTGAATTTCAATTTCGCTCCTCCTCCCACGAATTCTCGTGGCGTGGCAATAGCTAATAAAAACTTTCGTTTCTTACTTTCAGAAAGAGTTCCTTTCCCGCCCCAAAGCTGTGCAGCATCAGCAAGTCCGCATTTGCTTTTCCTTCAATGCAAAAATAATACTAAGCCATGCATCGAATTTTTCCCGTTTGTAATGTTTTAGTTTTTATTTAAAAAATAAATAGTAAAACCTCAGATGCATTTTCAACTAAAGATCTTTCAGTGTTCAGATATAATCGTAAATCAATAATGATTAAATAAAAATTCTGAATCTAAGAATGTCCTGAGAAAATGTACCTTGCTATCAGCTAGGAACCATGGTATGAAGAATACTAGACACTTTTATCTACGACATTATGCAAATTGTCGCATTTAAGTGAAAAAGACTGAAAATAATCAAAGTGAAACGTTTAAATCTGAAGAAAAGGATGATCTCTCATTACGAATGAGTAAGGGTGAGAGAGAAGAGTCCGAGAATTGCGCGCGCGTTCGGGGAGCATCATCCTGAAGGGAAAAATTCTCCTGGAGGCCACGAGCTTCTGCGACTTTTCCTCCGGCATCGGTCGGAGCTTGCGCGAGGGTGCCAGCTCCGCGCTGCTCCAGAGGAACACCGTGGAGGGAGGACGATGAAGCGGTGCGACGAGGAGAGGGACGATGTACTCCAGAGCGGGAGGGTGGATAAAGGGGAGATCGTAAGGTTGATCGGAGAGAGACGGAGAGCATGTGTGCAGCGAAGGGGTCGACGGATAGAGGGAGAGATCTCGCTTGGGAAAGGACCGACGAATGCGGATGCCCTCGGTTAAAGGGGGATGGAGCGACCGTGGGACGAAGCTTTCGGGGGTGGTCGGGTTGCCATGGCAGCTACCCCGGCCGGGTAGCAGACCCCAGTCTTGCCGCGGCGGTCGCCGAGTGCGCAACGGCTCCGTTCCTTCGCTTCTTCTCGGGTAACCCGGTGATATATGCCCGATTGTACGCGGTTCTCGATTCTGGTGATTAGTCCGGTGATTAACGGGCAGTGCGCGCGACCGACGAAACCGGATGTCCGTGCTTTCCTGGATGGACGCGCCGACTGACAGCCAGTAGAATGTAATTCATTTTTTCCGCCGTCTTGTTTTCCCATTCAGTGTCATCGCCACGCGTGAATACCTGCCCGCGTCAGGTGTACTCTGTGCTTCGCATTCTCATCTACGTTAATCTATCTCCGCGCCGAGTCAGCGGTGTCATTCGAACTCTGAGCCTGAGTCACGATTTAGGTGTAGATTTTATTCTGGGAGAAAAGTCGTTCGGCGAAATGAACAGATTAGTTTTCGAGGGGATTAACGCCGTTGTTCCTCCAGATGGAGAACGTTTGTGAGAAGTCGGGGGTAGAGAGTAAAATGGAAACGCGTGGCTCTGTGGGAAACTCGCCAGGTGTCTTCGAAAGTTGCCGAGTACGACGGAGACTAACGAGCTTCCTCGCTCTGACCAATTTTCAAATACCCCTAATCCAAAGTGTTTAGGAGGCTCTCTTGATTTTATGGTTAGATATCTAATCCTGCTTTGTAAAATTGTGTTGATAATTCAAATGCTGTTCATTCTGCGTCAGTAGCGGGAAATAAAACTATTTATGGAGGATTTGTCTTAATTTTAGAAAATCGTAAGGTTGTTAATATTGTTCGGTGCTCTCTTTCTTTAAATTCTCGCTATTGTTGAACTTGCCTTTTAAAGGTTCCTTATCGTTCATCATATTGTTCATATCATATTTTACGGAACTATATTAATGAGTCTGTAAAACATGAAAATGATCAGAATTTGGCGGATCTAAAAAATAGCTGATTACGAAAAATCATATTTTTAATCTAGAAAATTAAAGTTTATTAACATTATTAAAAAACAAATATGAATGTTGAAAATGAGTTATTAATTAAATTAACACCAACGTAGTCACACGTATGCAAATAAAATCCTGAGGCAATCATTTAATAATATAATTGTAATTGGATAATTTGATAATTATAATTGTAGTCAGAATTGATTTTATCGAAAGATAGTACAAATTTCAATTAAAGCATTAAACATATATGTAATACGTTAAAGTGAAAGATACATTTTCGATTGAAAGTCTAATTACAATTTTGGTGCTTTTCACAATTGATTTAATTAAAAATTATTCAAGAATTAGAATTTTGAATAAAATGATATTAATCCCGAATATAAAAAAGTACTGCTTATATTGTATGCTCGACATAAACAATGGGGCGCGTCGTACTAATTCCGGGGGAATTAGGTAAAAACACGTGAATAAAGCCCTCACTTTCCCCCTCGTTGACTCGAGGAGTGTTCCTGATATCCGTCTGGCTAAATAGCGGCGCGGATGAACCGCGACAAACAATTTTCACCGCGACGCGACACCAGCCACCAGACCAGCTCGTTTACTTCCGTTAACAAGTTTACACAACGTTTCTCGCGTGATCTCTCGGTCCATGAAAATCTACGAAACGAATGGGATTCGAACGGGAGACCAAGCAATTCTACCGTCTCCGCGGCGATAAGCGGAGGAATGCAATTTTCAAAATTGAACCAGACTCTTCTCGCTTCCTTTACTTTCCTCTCCCCATCTCTCTCTCTCTCTAGTTTCTCTTTTACTCCGTACTGCGTTTCCTGGTTACTTCTGATCATTTTTCGTTACTCTCAGAAGAGAGACGTTATCGTGCACTTTCAAGTCTTTCTCGGTGAAGTATAGTCTCCTTGCTTTGAATCTTTCAACGGGACGAGTTGCATTAGTTGGATTTAATGAAAACACTTTTTATAAGGAAAGCATCATTCGGCGATAAAAAAAATTGTATTATATACAGATATAAAATATTAATTTGCAATTGAAATCATATCGAATACTACAAAATATGACTTAAAAAATTTTCAAGAGATATTTCTTATCTAAATTTTGTACTAAAGACATTAGAATGTAATTTAAAATACAGTTTCTATTTATTTTATATTTCCTTCCCACTATTTAAGCGATCGTCTAATCATCGCTGCAACAGTGGTGTCGGAGTAAAAATTCTGAACGAGCCTTGCGAAAACGGTATCTCCGCCTCGCGGAGACGACGTTCCGCGGTGAATATTCCAACAAGCTCTTTCCTCCGTGCCCGACGTGTCCTCTTCGTTTTTGCAACCAGTTGCTTCAACGCGGGACGCAACGTTTCGTTTTTCTTCCGGGGCCTCGAGCTCCGGGATGAAAATGCGAACCTGGCGTTTGGGTTACAAACATCCGCTCGGGTCCAGCGGTAGGAATGGAGCGCGTCTTCATTGGGCACGTCCGCCGACTGCGGGAGAGGATCGTAATTCTTTCGCCGGGAAACCCATTCGCAGACTCCTCGCAGCGAAGATTTCCTCTCGCGACGATCGTCTTGATACTCGATATCGGCGGACACGACGCTATCGATTCGGTCGCGGGTACACGCAGCCGGGGTGCTCGTGTGTCGCGTTCGCCGGAAGCACGTGAAGTCGATGGATTGATTGGCTACGATTCAATCGCGTCGTAAATAAAACGTACGTGCCAGCCGGCTGCTAGAGATGTACCGATAATAAATAGCGAGCTCTTGTTATCTTTCTGGTCGTCGCCTACCCGATTTCTACGTCCATTCTTCTTTGTCGTCTCTTTCTACGTTCAAAAAGGTGTTGTTTTTAGCGCTAGGCTCGTCAGAGATCGATGTGGTCAATCAGCAATTTATCGTGGCAAATTTTATCGTGATGAAACTTGTGATGTGTAGTGAAAAATGATAGTGCGAGGAAAAACGTGTCAGTGTTACACAATCGATGTTAAGTGATCATTGTCAATCCTGACGGGTTGCGTGGAAAATATTTTTCGATCTTATCCTTGATAAATGCTACGGATTTAAAAACAAGGTAGAGTATCCAAAAGTTTAAATCAGGCTGTCACGTGTTGCAGTCACGTTATTGACTCAGCAATTAAGGATTAGCATAAGATTGATGTTCCAGAATTGTTAATTCTGCGGAATCGGAAGTAAACAACTATTGATTTTTCCTGGTACCAACTGGTTAGTTTACGTTCATCGAATTTTAATTTGTTTCCCTCTAAGCGAAGAACGAAATCGTACCCACTATTCAGAGATTCTTAATAACTGTACAGTCTGTGAATCGCTTCAAAGTGAAATTTCAATTTTCATTCGGATGGTTATTACTCGTGACCGACATAGAATAGTGAAAACTGATTTGAAGATGCATGTCTGATCACACATGTAACTATTCTACTTAATAATCAGCGTCCGACTAACGAGGCTTTCACGACAATTCACAATATTTTATAGGAATTAATAATTGAAGGTTTTACATGAAGTATAATTTTGAGATTAATTTTAAATATAGACAGCACTGAATTCCGATTTACGTTTCTATAAATTGATTCATTCCTTAAAGTATGCAATCTATTTGGAATAACTGAGAACGTGAAGAAATCCGGCTCAGTTTTCATAGGAACAAACGGCACATACGAAAAAGAAAGAAAGTACGGTACTTTCACTTTCAAACGAAGGAACAGACACTTCAGTCAATCCAGATTTCTATCTTCGTGGAGAAGCTTTTCATCCGCATCGAGCCGAACGGTTTCGCGGTGCGCCGCATGAAAAACGCGGCGAGAAATTCATTCGAAGGGTTCCGGGGGAGAGATCCGTTCAACCGTCCCGATCGTATTTTGTCGTCCTCGGATATTCCTTTCTCTCGTCTCAGCAGCCGCTGTGTGTGCCGGTGCCGTACCCGAGCCATGCCGCGGCACACGCGGCGAATTCCCCGTGAAAGTATCTCGAAATGATATTATCGTGAGGGAGCCGTTGAGATTTTATCGGTCCACTTACTCTCAACAAAGACGCCGAACAACTCTTACCCTCTCTTTCCCCGTTTTACTCTCGAGCTCGCATCGAACGAAGATGTTTTCGAGTCAGCTTCGTTTCGCAGCAATCCCTTGACGCACACACATATTTGCCTAACGCCGCCGTTAAACCTTTCGCAAACTACTATAGCTCGCGTGCTATGATCACCGTCGAGCGACTTCCGCATACTAACGAGTAATCCGATGAATACATTTCGATACGACGAACGTGCGGTCGTTTATTAATCATTCATTGTACATACGTACGGATATAAAGTAACATAGAGTAGAGAAAGACTTCGAGAGAACTGAAATTAATTCTAAAACACTCATTTTTATATTTAATCTTTTATAAATATGACTTATTAATTATAGCCGGACATGAAATTTTGATAGTATTCATTTTTTCTTTGACTTTCGCTTTTACAGTCTGATAAATTATTTATTTAAAGTCATATTTATAAAAGATTAAATATAAAAATGAGTGTAATGAATTTTTGAAAAGGACAGTCTTTCCTACTTCGTATGGAACGTATCGTACGATAATCGCTGTTAATTTTCGATCGACGGCTAATGCGGTAATCTTCGTTGTTCGTCATAATACGGCCTAAGTAGTTTGATGAAGCGTAAATACGGGTCGGAGAACCGTCGCGAATTTCGTATAGGTAACAGGAGAGAGCTAACAGAGTCTGACAGTGGTGTGAGTCATTTGTGGTCAGACAACACCGCAACCAGCTGCCTGTAAATTCGCGCTTCCATCAAGTTTCCATCCCGCGGTAATTTTTGCACCGTTCGGCCGCGAATTGCCGCCGGGATATCGGAATTAACGCACCGAAAAACTACACCTCACGATGGGTGATCTAATTAATCTTCATACGAGAAAAATATTGAAACCCTGAACGACGGCAGAAATCTCCTTCGACACAAATCAAATTTTATACCTCTCAGTCTATTTTTAAAAAGCGAATGCAATGATCAACGAGCTCCGATTCGCATGGAAATTTCAAAGTAAAAATTATTGCAGTATTCAAGAATTCATTTTGTCTGAATGTAAAATTCAAAGTTGGTTCCAAACCGCTTTTCAAAAATAATACGACAGTTCCTCTATTATAAAATACTTCAAAATTAATTTTTCATTAAAAATTAATTGAAACTTCGTTAAGATTTCTATATTAACAAGACAATATAAAATTAGAAGAATTTGATTTGTGTTGTTTTAGAATATTGTAATTTTAATTAAATCCGAGTTTATCAATTTTCGCAAGGAAATTCGAAATCGTGGTGGACGGTTTAATCTAATTTCGAGGCAAGTCAACAACATTATTCAACAGAAGCACGCAGCGATGTTTCAAGCTCGGCTTCAACGAAGATCAATGCGAGCCGCATAAAATAACAATCGATATTGATTTATGCAGATACCGCCAGTGAGGTGGATATGATTTATGCAAAATTCCCGGTGAGACAGACTCGCCGTACGCTCAATTACAGACGGGCCACGGTTAAATAACGTAAAAGGTGGGACAGAGAAAGAACGAATGACAGAGAGAGTGCGGCGGTGCGGGTGGAGAGGTCGCACGATTGCTTCTTCAAACTAACAAGAGATTAAAACGATTGCTAGACGACCGAATGCGGTCTGATTGCGTTCGTGTTTG